ATCTGCTCTGAGAATAAAATGTGTAAGAACAAAGCAGCCTCCAAACCTGGCTCAGTTACAGCAAGTTCTGTAAGGAGGAATGGGCAAAAATCCTAGCAGAAACGTTTTAATGTCCCACAAATAAGTGTCCCAAGCAATGCAGATAATAAGGACAATTGAAAATAATAAAAAAAAAATACGGGGTATTTATTCGTCCTGTGCTTTGAGAATATCAACAAATTCCAATGCCTCTACAGTGAGGCCATAAAGGAAAATCCTTACAGAATTCGCCAATCTCACAATTAATACATTTAGTACAGTTTATATATACTTGTATTTATAAATGGATTCTTTCCTAATCAATCACAAAACAAATGTGATTTGATTTAGACATTTAATCAGAAAAATAAATCATTACAAATGAAATCGTTTTTTCTTCTTATGATATTTAACTCAAACATGACATTAAATTGGATTTCAATGAGGGGAAAATACCAGAACCTGTAGTTTATCTTTGAGTTATATGCAGACCATCAGTGCAAGCACTGTTTCAGTAGGGTGCTGCTGAACTGCAGCAGAGAGACCATCTGTGAAAAGCACAGTTTCAAAAAGATTGTTTACACTGTGAGCCGAGCAAAACATTTTTTTTGTGTGTGTATGAACAATGTTTGCCGAAAGCGTGGGGTTAACCTGTTTATAAAAATACGAATCAGCCCAATTGAACCAAAACAATATCCAAACTTGTATCTGATAGTTTGTCTGCAAGGCATATGTTTTTATCATTTTCCCTATAACAACCAGGGCCGCATTGGAATACCTCAGGGACATCTTTGCTGATCCTACAAAACATGCAGGTAATTTGTGTGAGTCACTCGCTGCACATGACACAAAATCCTTTCCCACAAGATTTATTCTGGAGGAAAATAGAAATTTATGGGACAAAAAGAGGTTGAGAGCCGCAGCCCTTGCCAGAAACATGTTGAGCAGACAGCCTCAGTGTAATACATAGCTGCAATTCTGCCTCCCTAAACAGCCATGTCATTTAAGGCCAGGAGCCCGAAAACCGTTCTTTAAAGCCACAGTCCTTGATTTGTTTCCAGCAATTATTTCCTGTAGGTGTCTGGCAAATTGTGAGCTGCTGGTAAAGTAAAAGCCTCCATCATTATTTGGAAAAGGGAAAAAAAGTGTCTAATATTGGCAAACATATTTACAGGGAAATAAACAGACTACAGAGTGTATCGTGCAATCTGTTTGCAATCTTATGGCTAACTGGAGATTTTTTTTTTTAAGGTGTGAATTAGAAATTCAATTAATCTCAATTCCCTTTTTAAACTCGCTTCATTATGAGTACTTCTCAAACATGACAGAAACTTAAAAGTGCAAACCTGAAAAAGAATCCAGGTATAGTGGAGGATTCTCACAAATCTTTGAGAAGGCCTTCCCTCTCTACTTAAAAAAAAATGCAAATGCACGATCCTGTACCAGCTCTTAAGAGGGAACACCTATGAAACGTGTGTGAGAGCGTGCACGAGCCCATTTCTCCTCATGCACACTCTGTTTTAAAGTTGCTGTTTGTATCACTCATACAAGCTTACTTTCCAAACGAAGTTAGCAATTTATCCATTATGTCAGACTCACCAAGCGAAAATGGGGACGAGAACGTAGGACGGCCTTACGTAAACATATCACCAGAATGAATGACAATTAGGAGGACCACTTATTTTGATGATCCACTCGGAAAAATAACATCCTCCACTATACCTTTAAGTTACATTTTATTTATAGTTTGGAATAGTTGTACTTCTCAAAAATTAAAGGATATGCTGAAAAAGGAAAGACGAGCCAGGGATTAAAAAAAGGCTACTTACACACTAATTTAATAGCAGTTGACAAGCAATAGCAGTAAATAAAATAGCAGATTTTAGAAGTTTAATACTTTTTGTAAAAATTATGATGCATTTCCAAGCTAGGTAAAAAAAAAAAGCCAGACAAAGAAGATCTATAGTGCTTTTACGTCTGTGCCATGGCACCGATGCACCCACATACGACCACAGGCGCTGGCGTTCACACACCCCTCAGATGACAGCCTGAATCATATTTCTCATGCCTTGGAATGTTGAACCAAATGTCTATTTTATCCTCCCCTAAAAAACAAACCGAAACGTGGAGTCATCTGACCACAGAGCACATGTCCAATGTTTCTCTGTCCGTCTGAGGAGAGTTTGCTCCCAGATACCTTAGCTGTATTTCTTCCCTGAGGGGAGATACTCGGCTCTCTCTCTTTGTAATACAGTTTCAGGTTACATTTCTGCATGCAGCACTGGATTGTGCTGAGTGGCAGTGGTTTTTCCAAGGTTCTGGCTTGTGTGGTTTTATTGATCCGTCACTGGATGCAGTGCTTACAGGGGAGCACATGGGTATCCAATAGTCGATGTTAAAAAAAAAAAAAACTTATTCTGCATCTTTTTTTATTATTATTAATTGAAATAAAATAACAGTAAGTATTGTTGTAGTCTCTTTTTTTTGCAAACATTCTTGTGTTTCTTAACTATCAGCATCCTCTTGTATCCCAACATCTGAGATGCAAAAATTTAAAGTTTAATAATTTTCTAAAACATGCAATCCTAAAATAACAATTTCAGACAAGTTTGCAGGGCAGACTTATTGTGACGGGTTCAGATAGTAGCAGAAAGGATGACCTTATATGGAGCAGGAACCAAGACTCATTTTTTAGTCATATATATATATTTCATAGACAAGATTATTCAAATGTAGCATTTAGCTGCCAGTTCTGCACAAAGATAATGATACCCTTGTGACAACCACTCCATCCCTGGCAGCAGTGCATCTTGTAACCCCTGATAATTATATTGAGAGCCCAGCCGTAATGACAACCTTCCAATACCACAGAAAGAAAAGACTTTCCCCTTAAAGCAGCGGTGGTCAAAAAGGCTGTTTTTTTGTTGTGTTTTTTTTTTCAGAATCCACACATGAGATAATGTTTCGTGAGGCGTGTGGTTAGAGCGCAGACTGTATCAGCATGGAAACGTGTGTGTGTGTGTGTGTGTGTGTGTGTGTGTGTGTGTATGCTGCCTGATGGGCTGTACCTCTGGAAATGTGATGCTGCCATGTGGTCTACTAGGGATAGGGAGACAGTAAGAAAGTAAAACAAACGCTGGTCCGTGCTATGCAGTGTTCTCACACATTCTACATCGTAAAAAGCCCTGTTTTTATATTCCAAACAGAATCTGAGGACACTTTGTAGCTCAAAAACAGTCTTAGCCTATGATTTATTCCACATCTTGCTATAAACACAATCTCTGAGGTATTGCATTGGGGTTTTTGTGTTATAAAGCAACCAAAGTGCAAAATCAGGAAGCGAAAAAGAACATTATACATGGTTTTCAGGTTTGACCATAAAAATGTGAAAGGTGTGGTGTGAATTTGTATTTCAGCCTCCACCAGAGAACCTGATCAACTGTATTTAGATCCATACTTTGACAAACCTATTCTAACTTTGTTTTAAACCATCCCATGCTGGCTCAGGAATCATTGCTGAAAGACAAACCCCTAAACCCAAATCCATTTTTAGTATCTAAGAGATTAACTTTGCAGGATTCCACTGTATTAAGCTATTTTCTTATCTCCATGTCAACCTTGGATACCTTTCTTACCTCTTCTGGAAAATAAAAGGTCTCTCCCACACGATGATGCTGCCATCACCATGCTTCACCTTGGAGAGTGTGTGCAGGGTAACATGCAGTCATAGTTTATAGTAATAGTTCTTGTGGGGATCAAAAACTTAAAACTAATCATCTGACCAGTGCTTTCACATGACTGCAGGGCTCCTACACAGCTGATGGCCAACCGCTGTGAGTCATGTGGGAGAAAAGCATGTCTTCATTCTTTTGCCAATGGGCTCACTCCTGCCACTCTTCCATAAAGGCTTTATTTTTTTTATAATAGATAACTGATCATCGTTCCACCTACAGTCAATGGCAGGTGGGCTTCCTGCTTTGCTACCTCAGGTTCAGGCTCAGCATTTATATTAAGATTAAGTCCAACCCAGAGGGACTCTGCTATTAGTAGATGGGGTTGAATACAAACATATGTAAATTGTTCATTATTTTTACTGCAAAATTTTTACTGTCCTTTTCCTGACCTCCGCAATAATGTGGTAATTTGTGTTGGTCTGTTGCATAAAACAAACCAACAGAGAAAAATGTCTTAATGCTTCATAAAAGGTATTGAAAATATCACCTTTTATAACTGCTGAGCCATTGTGAGATATTAGATCAAACAGTAAGATAAAGTAAGTAAGATAAAGGGGTTTGCAATTTATACCACACAAACCATATTATCAACTCATAGATAAGGATGATGAATTCACTCTGCATTCATTTGAACCTTTCCTAATCCCATTTTCTTATCTTGAGAAAAAAACCCACCAAAATTCTTAAAAAAAGACAATTTCATTGCAACATTTGTGTAATAGCAACATTTCACAACACTAATAAATTCCTGATAAGAAAAGGGGGATTTAACTGAAACTGTGCTGAACTCACTGAGGCATGGTATATTAGAATTTCTCAGTGTCAGAAAACATCTCAGCATGGTGCTGCTGCCTTTTGGGGGAGTTGTGCACACACTTTATACACATGCCAAAAACAATCCTCAAAGCCAACCAAGTGGAAAGTCAATATAGGATGTATGGATACGGTTGGCAGTCCAGCAGAGCCACAGTTACACTAAATGCACCTTACAGCCTCAGAATAAAAAAGACTTATTTTCCATTTTAATATCTTTACCCCTCCATACTGCTAATGCTTGCAGCAAAGATTTCTCATTATTATTATTCAGAGGAGTTTGGAACAAGTGCTGGAGAATAAAGTGAAAATATTCCTGATGTATTGTCAGAAACATGCAAAAGTTGTATTTAAGGCGGATGAAATCATAACAGTGGTGGTTTTTACTGTTATTGTTGTCTTATATAAACCAGTGAGGGATTTGTGGGCTCTTACCAGAGGAAACCGATGAACCTGAGAGGCTTGAAGTGCTGGATGCTGCCATCCCAACCAGTTTGGTGACTGGTTCACTCCCAGTTGGCCAAGGTGGGCTGACAGCAGCTGGTCCCCGGCGGTGCCTCCATGCCACTTCAGTGCACAGCACTTCTTCTGACGGCTGATTATTTCATACCACCTTTATAATCCCAAACCCAACACCCCTCCGTCCGTCTGTCGGAATCTGCTGATCCTTATTTCCCACCTTGACTTCCCGCAGCACTGCAAGGGGCTGCCGCATTTACCCACGATTGGACCAAAACGCGCTCCGTGGATCAGCCTCACTGAAGGCTCTCCGCACACGGTTCCTGCATGCACAGATAAGCTCTGGTTTCCATGTGCCACTTTAAGGGCTGCGATGAACACACCGCAGCGTAGGCGCGCCTTCTTAAAGCGAAAGTTTGAAAGCAAAAGAGGGAAAGAGAAAACGACCCACTTTTTTCTGTCACTTCAAAAATCCTGGTGGTTTTTTTTCTCCTCTCGAAAGGTGCTGTTATATGATTCACTGAACAGTCAGGCTGGTTGCACCACATGATATTGGCTCAGATGCAGAGTATTTTCATCAGAAACCATGTTGTGTTATGTTACAGCGGAGCGTGGCGGAGGAGCGGATTAGAAATCATATCGGATAAATGGCGCCATCTAGTGGCCATTCTAGTAAGCGCTAGATAATAGACTTGGGAATATTACATCCATCCATCCATTTTCTGTCATGCTTATCCCTACCGGGGTCAGCAGGTTTGCTGTTGCCTATCTCCATCTGTCTACGGGCGAGAGGCGAGGTACACCATGGACAGACACACACACACCGGCCCACACAACGGAAAATTTAGAGAAGCTATTTAACCTAACAGTAATGTTTTGGACTGTGGGAGGAAGCCAGAGTACCCGGAGAGAACCCAGGCATGCTATGGGAGAACATGCAAACTCCATGCAGAAACTCTCCGGGTCTAGAATCGAACCCAGAAGCAATGGCGTAAATATCGGTAAGCAGAGACTGCAGCTGCTTAGGTGCCCCCAGTCTCTTAGGGGCCCTGTCACTGACACCTGGTGGGCCCCCTACACAATTGTGGATTAGGATGTATCTTTGCAGATGTAATGGCAGGGGCGGGGCTAGATGGGCCATGGCCACCCTTAGCCAATCATTGGCCACCCCTGTGGCCACCCCTACCATTTTTCCCTCTAATACAGACGGTGGCATCAGTAATACTCTGAAGGGGAATGTTCAAACATATTAAACATTTACATTTTCATATATTAACAACTACTTGACAACAGAAACACTGTGGTTAATTATGCACATCAATATACAAATATTAAAGATGATAGATACAACAAAATTTTGAAATGTTTGGGATAAAGATAAAATTATGTGCCTCTGCAAGTCATCTAGGAGTCTTCAGTGAAATCATAGATAAATAACTACTTTAATAATAACATAAAAAATCATTAAATGTGGATATTAGTAGATCGAAATATAATTTTTTTTGCCAAATTATTATTAATAAAAGTAGGTAATGACAATTTAAATATGTTCACCCCAGAACTCACACCTGAAAGAATTTTGTCCACTATACCTTCTATTTACACAGCATAGCAAACAAGATGGTGGTACTTTTAATTACTATGTTAATAACTGTGTATAGTTAATTAGCTATTTGGTAAAAAAATTACACTCCTATAATATGTTTCAAACTGCAATAAAGATCTTAAAAGCACAATGTTTTTGAGTATTTTATTTTTTACTCTACGACTTGGAATTATGGGTAATCCAGAGCGTCAATTAAAACCATAACTGTAACGTACAATGTGTTAGCAACAATGGATACCAAAAAGAGGTACTTAAGCGGATTCCAGAAAGAAAGGGGTGTTGTACTTCATATGGGGCCCACCCAGATAATGTTGCTTATGGGCCTATTGTTGTGTTGTTACAACATTAACCAGAACCTTCTTGCTGCAAGGCAGCATTGCTACAAACCGCACCGCTGAGCAGCCCTCAGGAATATCACATATTAGTCAGTTCACCAAACCCACTGATGTCTGAATCAATTCCTAGTTGTTTAAACCCAAAATGTTTTTGGTTTTTTTTGCGTTTTGCTGTCAATCAGATGATATGTTAAATAAAAGGATTTTAATTTGAACATTGCAACTATAACAAATGGAAATTAAGTATTTATTTAATTAGAGATAAAGAAGTTTACAAGATTACAGACTTCAAGCAGAAGGATGATCTGACAAATATAAATCTGGAGAGAGCAAATAAACTGAATACATTCTTAAACAGCTTCAATTCAGGAACAAGCTCAGCATCTTTCTCTCCTGCCCGCAGTCACATGAACATCCTGCCCTCCTCTGCCATTGACTCTATTTTTTCTATGACTTTGTTTTCAGTAAAATCAGATTATGGCGCTGCTCCCTCCACCTTTCACCT